AACCCACCGAACGGGAAACATACAAACTCATTGTCTCTTGGAACAGGCACAAGTGATACTCCAAAGTAGCAATCCCCCCCAATCATGAGACCAAGCTCCGTATTGAGGGTAAAACAGGATTCTGATTTATTGAGGGCTACTTGCCCGGTATTTATGTAGGTCTTCCACCTGATGGACACTCCCCTAGGGGACTAGATGGAAGACTGGGACAAGAATAGTACATTAGCCAATCACAGTGGCTCAGGCATGAACACTCCCCTTTGGATGAGCAAAACACTCCTCTCTATCCTGGAGATAATTGGGAAGAAATCCAATTATCACCATGGATAGAGGCAAAACACCATTTTACATGGGACAATAAAAATACATAAAAATCAATAACTGGGAAACTACCGAATGCATTCAATAGATTTAATGTATCCCCAGACAGCCTAGATCTGAGCGCACATTATTACCGAATGGCGCTCAGATCCAATACACACAGTCCAATCGCCATGGAGCCAAAGTCTATCAGACTGTTCTTTCGGTATACAAATGGCTCCATGGGATGGCTATCTAGGTTAAGTCCATTCGTGTAATAAAAGTCCCGAATGGACCGGCGTCCGTATGCTAGACGACAAAGAAGGGTGGACGGCAGCTTCAGCGGTGTTCGGGAGAAAAAAAAAGTGTCCATTTTGGGTTCCACTAAATCATCAACGGACACCGCTGTTCATTCGTGTGTCCAAGATGGCCGCCGCCTCGTGGTCGGCATACGAATGACAACCACCCTGCATACGGTTGTCAATTAAGAGGTGTCTGCGGTTAACCACAACATTCTAATAAGGCCAAGAGGTTAACCAGCAGCACACTTCTCTTCTGGGTGGCCGGCAATTCGGTAGTTTGTTCAGGACTTTAGGAAATAAACGAACGGGGGAATACGGGCAGGCTGTAATGGATGGCACTGGGCTGTCCTGAGAAATTACATGTATTTGAATGCATTCGTGTAAAGTAACTAAGTTCTATGTGTTAAATATATTGTATTCGTCTGAATGTTAGGTAGTTTCATTCCCTTAGTTTGTTCGAATGAAACTACCGAACAGTCAGACCTCACCTGTGTGAAGTGTGCCTTCAATTACCCGTTGCAACATTGTTGCGAACGGGTAATTGACAAGCTGAGTAGCCGTCCTTTGTTCTCGGGGGTGGCCATTTTAAAACTCCAGAAAACAGCGGTGTTTTGCCGTCGAGTGTCTGGAACTCAAATCGGGCACTCGACTAGGCGAACACCGCTGAAACCTCCACAAGCCCGGTCCGTTCGGTTCCAAACTACCGAACAGCCCCTCGTTCGGTAGATAGAAAGAACCGAACGAGGGGATTCAGGCGAATCTAGTCTCTGTAGCTAGAGGCTTTCATGACGTTTATTCCCTGACTCCAGGACCGACCGCAGGGCCCATTCGCATGGAACCTCATTCGGCTGTTCTCTCCAGTGCAGTCGGTCATTTTATTCCCTCCATTAATTTCCCGAACCCCTGGTCTGATCTGGGTGATTTTTGGATATGTTGTTCACCCAGATCAGGGCTACCAGGGCATGTATAATTTAAAGTTTAGGGGTACATCCAGAAACGGGGGGGAATTGGTGTCCTGGATAAGGGGGTTATGATGCAGGCAGAGGGGAGGAGATGTGTGGGAGGTTACCAGAGCAGGATTGGCTACTGTACAAATTAATGAAAATCCCTCCCTTGCATGGGAGCAGGCTTTAAAAGGCACTGTCTGAATAAATCTTTAGTTCTGCTCCTGAAACTGTGTGTCGTCCAGTTATTGGGATTGCTGTTGGAATACTGCTGTGTTATTTTGCCTGCTGGATACTTTACCCTATGGATTTATAATTGCTTGTTCCTGAACCTCCCTGGGATCCAAAGTGGAGATAGGCTGTGTAATACCAGCTCTCCGCTACACAGGCAATTACACGAATACACACAAACCAAACGGGATAGCAGTATAGTTCCAAGAAAGAGGGATCTGTCACAGTTATGTTACCTTACCATCACGGCAATATCGCCCCGACTACAAATATATATTTATATATGCCTATGTATGTATATATGTGTATATATAATTCCAAAAATGAAGTGGGTGCACTCAAAGGATTTAGGTGAAAGAACTGGTATATTTTATTGCATGTTAGCAAAAAATTCAATTATCACTTTGTCCCGATGGACGTTTCAATCCCAAAATGGGTCTTTCTCAAGATCAACAAGTGAGAAGACCAAATAAGCAATATATTCAATATAAAATAAAGTGACTTACCAATCAAAGTGAAGCTCCTGTGTGTACCCAAACCAGGAAGTGTTCATGCGGGACACGTGACCCCCAGTGACGTAGAGGCGTGTAACGCCGTTCTGCATGTAGTCGATTGCCAAGAGACATATAAACAACCGACGGGTGAAGACTCAATACTAACTATAATCATAGTGTGCATACGTGCATAAGATCTATCTCTGCATATGTGTATACACAAGACCAAAAATAATAATATGGAGGACTGAGTAAATATTATAGTAAATAAAGGACTAAGGATAGACCCATACTGAAGTACATAACATCTGTCACCTTAACAGATGAGGATACGGGGACGGGAAAAGTGTAGTGAGCACACAGTGACAAAAACAATAGTGTCTTTGGAGTGAAAAACAAAGAAAAACATGAACTGCTATCCCCACATGCAGAGGCAGTGTTACACATAGTTAAAAAATACATATTAAAAATATATATAGTATTTATATATAAATAGTACTACTATACAATAAACGCAAAGAGCGGGTTTCTGAAACTAGTGTGTAAATTCAAATACTATGTGGGACTATGTGGTGTCAAAAAATTTTTACATCCTCTCTGGTTGAAAAATTGATAGTAAATGTAGAGAACAAAGAGCCTGTAAATTAAGGAGTAGCTACAAACTGTGACCCTAAAACAATGATATATAGAACACTATTCAATGAGAATGTAAAGAAAGTACAGGAGTGGCCAAAATTGTTTCCCGTGATCGAAATCAGGGATTATCATGAAACGAAAAATTATCGCTAATATACTGAGAATTGTATTAATTGTTCCAAATATCTAAATTAATACCAGATATGGTATTAACTGGTATATCTTAATAATTTAGATGTTGCTCCCAAAGTACAAATGAAATAGGATGAATCCAAAATGGAGTCTACTCACCATGTGGGCTATTCCAAAATGGAGTTAGTCACATGTGGCATGCATCACAATGGGAGTCAAATAACACTCTCCTGAAAGTATTACCCAAAAAAACAAACAAAAAGAATGTACACTCGAAGAGATAAGATTTAACAATTAATATTCAAACTGACACACATCTTGGTAGTTGTGTAAAAGATATATAATGTTTAATATACATGCATAAAGAAACAATGTATATACACATATATAAAACAGTTGTCAAATATTATATACTTTAACTAACAATGCAATACTACAACAATCTCACAATGCTAAATACACATCAACCATTGTATAATAAAAATGATTTTGCCCTACCAAAATGTTATCCAAAAAATATGATTTTCCGTTTAATCAAACCACTAAATAATAATTGATTAAACTAAAATAAAACTAAACTTAAAAATAAAAACAGCGATACAAATACTTATCAGTTGCCAGCTGCAAGATGTTCAATGCTCGGCCTGGAAAAAGAATGGTTCCCTTCCAGCACGTGGCTTCACCTTATAAAGGGACTGAGCATGTGACTTTCCTTACCCAATCCCTGTGTGCCATTGAATGGGGAGGAGTCAGGCATCCATCTTGGCCGCATGGCTCAGACAAAGAAAGTCTCCAAAAAGGTGCTCACTACTCCCCCTAATGGCACAATTCTAAAATGGCACTCAACATAATAAACTGTATTAAGTGATTTCTAATGAATAAGACTATAATAAACCCGTGTCCATTACAATCCACCTCTTGGTCTTATCCATAGATATCATCTTCTACACCGCTGTTTCCACTTATGGCAAAGTTAAGAGTCCTAATCCCTATACCCAGCTGGCTACACAAACACACACACACACAAAACAAACAAAAAAAAAAAAAAAATAATAATAATACTAATATATAACCACAGCTACTGACAGTCTATGAAAACCATGTTTCCCAAACCACCCAAAACAATCCGGTATATAATTCTTCATGTAATGTTTCCTGTATGGTAGAAAATGTGGCCAAATAGTCCATGAGCAACCATATTCCTAATTTCATCTCCTCAAAACACCTAAGCAGTCTGGTACATGATTTTTCCGTAATGTTTCCAAAATAACAGTAAGTGTGACCAAATCATGGTTAACAGGATAGCTGCAGCACTCGTTGCCAACCAAGGCCAGACTCCTTTTTGATGGATACTGATTTAGAAAGGTTACAGCTCTGATCTGCATAAAGATGTTAGAGGACCATGGGCTCAATTGTTTTAAATTGCCACCAGCCTGCTGGAAGGAAAGTAAACAGGTTTAATATCACCACGTAATAACACAACCTTAGTATTACCAGGTCCATCTGAAATTATTTCTCCCTTTTGCCTTTGTTGCTCTCTAGTTCTAGGTAGCACCCAAACTTTGGACCCTGCCTGAATCAGCTCAGTCTTGTCCCATGTTACTAACACTGTTTGAGGTACCCAAATGGCTATCTCCCCCAACACCGTTCCTACACACAACTCACCACCTCCACCTCTAGACATAGGTACACTCCACATACTTCCACATGTATTCACCACACCTGGGGTTGTCCACCCATCTTTCCCCAACCTTTCATGGAGAATTAATGTGACTTCTGTCCCTATATGCATGGTGCCTCCAATGGATAGAGTCACAGTTTGCCATTCCCCTTCTACTGTTATTTTAACAGGGGAGAGGACTTTTACTCTAAACCTATTCTTTCCTACCAATGTAGGAATGTCACCTGTGAATGTTAGTCTCATGTTTACAGTCGGAGTATCATTTTGTCTGGTCAACCTGTCATAAGGGGAGAACTGTCCGATTGGTCGATTGTTCAATATCATTACCGCTTGGGTAATTACCCGATCCCAGCTCATTAGCGTTTTTACTGGGGGATAGCTTCCTAATTTGTTCTTTTAGAAGCCCATTGCACCGCTCTATCAACTCCGCAGCTTGGGGATGATAGGGGATATGGAATATCCATTTAATCCCTGAGTCCTGTGCCCATTGTTGTACCAGCTGTCCTGTGAAGTGGGTGCCATTATCTGTTTGAATTTCAGATGGCATCCCATAAGCCATCACAATTATCTGTAGGATCTTCAATGTAGCTGCTTGATTGGCACTTCTACAAGGTAGCACCTGTAGCAATCCTGTGTAAGTGTCGACGGCAGTACAACAATAAAGGTGTCCTCCTCTTCCTTTGGGTAGCGGGCCAATGTAGTCGAGTTGCCATATCTGGCCTGCTGATGTGCCTTTCTTTAGATACCCTTGAGTCTGTGTGGTGAGTGGCCACTTGTTCACTTCGTTGCAGACTTCACACACTTGTTGAGCAGTGGTGACTAGTCCCAAGGTGATTGGCATCCCTCTTGATCGTGCCCACTCCAATGTGGCCTTGTTTCCTCCAGTTTCATGGGCCCAGGTTGCCATCTTCAACAGCACCGGATCTACAGGGTCACTAGCTTTCACATTTCGGATCCTTGTCAGCTCATCTGCTACAGCATTGTGGTTCTCTTCATCCAAGTTAGCAGCTACGTGGGCATCAACATGTCCAATTTGGATCAGTCGGGTCTGGGCAGCCACCCAGATCTTCTCCCATAATTCTGCACCTCCCCACACTGGTCTTCCATGAATTAGCCATCCATTGGTTCTCCAGGTGGGCATCCAGGTTGTACATGCTTTGTAAACAGCCCAGCTATCAGTATAGATCTGTATTTCTTGTGAGTCAGTCTCTTCCAGCAGGGATGCTATTGCCACTAGCTCAGCATACTGACTTGATCCACCCCTGCCTTGCTCTTGCACAATCTTCCCCTGTTGAGGGTTGTAGGCTACTGCTGTCCACCTTCTTCCTTTATGGGTCAACACCGCTGACCCATCAGTGAACCAGGCATCATGCTTCTGTTCTGTTGTCAAGTTGTCATAGGGCGGAGCTGACTTGATAGGGGAAGGTTGCAGCACTGGTATTTCACAGGTGTTTGGATGTGACAAGGACTTGTATGTCACTAAGCCATTTAAGATTTTAGAGAGTTCTTTAATTTCTCCAGCCTGTATCCCTCCTCTCTCCTGCAGGTACCACTCCCACCCAGCAATGGGTAGGTCCGTTCGGACTGACACTGGTGCTTGTAGTGTTATGGTTTCCACATGCAGCAGTGCTGTATATGCAGCTAACAGGTTCTTTTCCAAAGGAGAGTACCGTTGTTGGGCCCCAGTTAGTTGCTTGGACCAGAACCCAATTGCCCTCTGGTCTTTGACTTCATGTGGCTGCCATAATCCCCAAGACATTACATTTTCTGTCACCATCACATCCAGTTGGAAAGGAATTCCAGCTTTGATGGGTCCTAAACCCTGGTGTTGAAGAACAGCTCCTTTGGCTGCGTTGAATGCAGTAACTTGGTCTGTTCCCCATACAAAAGTCGATTTCTTATGTGTGACATTGTAAATTGGCCTTAACAACAGTCCAAGGTGAGGTATGAATGACCTCCAATAGCCAAGAGCACCCAGAAATCTTTGCGCTTCTTTAACAGTCTTTGGGGGTGGAGTGTTCTGTAAAGTATCCAGCACAGGTTGGGGTATCTTTCTTACAGGACCGTCCCAGATCATTCCTAGAAACTTTACTTCCTGGGCCGGACCCTGTACTTTGTCTGGATTGATAGCCCAGCCTCTCTTAGTCATATGGTCAATTAACAAAGGCAAAGTCTGTTCCACTTCTTCCTTGGTACCAGTGATCATGATATCATCAATGTAGTGGAACACAGGGGTTTTTAGTTTGAGCTGGCTTAAATCCCTTGCAATCAATCCATGACAAATTGTAGGGGAGTGTAAGTATCCCTGGGGCACAACTTGTAAAGTGTATTGGCGTCCTTCCCAAGTAAAAGCAAACTGATCTTGTGACTCGGGTGCAATGGGAATAGAAAAGAACGCATTAGCTAAATCGATCACTGCATGCCACTCAGTGGCCTGCTTGACTATGTCCTCAGTGACACAGACGATATTGGGAACTGCAGCGCTTAATGGTGGTGCCACTTTATTGAGTCCACTATAATCTATCGTCATGCGCCAAGAGCCATCCGGCTTCTTGACAGGAAACACAGGAGCATTAAATGGGCTAACTGCAGGACAAACTACACCTGATGTCAATAGCTGAGAAATTGTCTCGCTGATCTCTTTCAGTCCTCCTGGTAGCCGGTACTGCTTCAGTCTTACCGGACTACTAGGAGGAGGAATTACCACAGGTGTCCAGTTGGCATTTCCCCTCACAACTTCTTTGATAACTCTGATATAGGAAGGCTTGTGTGGAAATCCAAAGGTGAACACCCCCCACTGAGTCTCTATTCTTTGCCCTAGCAATACATCTATCCCCAAGATATTGTCAGGTAATTCTGAAATCAGTGCGTTAGTCACAAACTTTGGGCCTTTATGAATAGATAGAGTTACATTAACCTGCACTGCCTTGGTTATCCTTCCTCCCAAACCTTCTATTTTCACAATGGGACCTGCAAACTTTGAGGGGTTACCCTGTAGTACAGTCAATTCAGTTCCAGTGTCCACTAAAGCCAAAACCTTGGTGCAGTTGGCTCCCCGCCCCCACCATACAGTCAGCGGTACATGAGGGCGTCGGTCCCCAGCAGTAAGGGGAAACATACTCACTGCCTGGGAACCGCCATCATGTCAGCTGAATGATGCTGCTGCAATGGCCCATAATTCCTCTGAGGGGTAGGTGGATTTAACTTTCTCTGTGGAAGGGATAACGTGTTTCTTGGGCATCTTGGGTTGGTCTGAATTAAAGTCATCTCTGATGTCAGTCTGGGTGGCAGCACCAGATGAGATATCCTCATCTAGGTTGATGAGGCTGACCTTGTCAGAACTGTGATCCCTATATGCAGCATGCACTTTTCTTTTTACGATGTTCCTCCACCTCTCAAACATAGCAGGTGTAGAGATGCCATCAATCTCATCAGGAGAAACACCAGCTTTGACCAAGTCAGCCCACATCTGCTTTTGAGAAATAGCATACTTGGTGGAGTCTCTGTTTGGATTATGTTTGACTGGAGGGGCAGACATTTGTTTAACTGGGGTGATGTCCTCACTCTCGTCTTTAGACCTGCTAGCTGCTGCTATACCCCTTTTTCCTCTTGCTCAAATTCCCTAGCTCTGCCAACAGTGTTGTTATTTTATGTACTATCCCATTTGGACCTGCTCCATGTAATAGTGACATCAAGGTAGCTCTTAAATGGTTAGGGGCTGTTCTAAGGAATCGGGACTGCATGCTTTGTGTAAATTCCTCTACATCTGGCCCTTATCCAACCCTGCTAAACATCCCATGATCCTTACATGAACTATTGCCTCTTTTAAGGTGCGCCAGGGGGTGTGAGGCTCTATGTCAACATGAGAGGGAAACACTTTTAACAAGGCATGCCTCACAATATCCAGCAATGAGAAGTTGCCTTGTATTTCCCTCACCTGTCGCAAAATCTGCCTGACTTGGGGATCATTAGTTATCTGGCCTAGACTCACTGCTTCTGTTGCATTAAGCATCACTTTGTCTGCACCAGCGTCCCACACTCTTAACAGCCACTCGCCCATGCTTTCATCACTGCCTTGCTTATACGCTTTGGCCAACTCGGACAATTCCATTTGCGTATACCCTCTCATCAATTCATTCACCTCATCATGTGCCTCTCCTGCATTACCATACTGGTCCCTATTTACTCTACGCTTCCGCTGCTGAGTGATGACAGGACGGACCTTACGGCGGTCCGGTACATCATCAGGTGATTCGTAGTTGTTCTCCACAAAATCTTCCTCCTCATCCGAGAAAGAAATCAATGATGAACTTTCTCTGGGAGAGTCCTTTATCACAGGTCTCATCCTTCGGGATGGCATAGGCAACTTCCCTACAGGCCTCCTATGGTTCACTCTGTCCACCCGCAACGTAGCACACTGTTCTTCCAAACAAGCATTTTGTTCATTATTAGAAAGCAGGCACTCAGTTGCAACTATTAACCTTCCCTTTACATCAATTAGTTCCTTTTCCAAGGCTTCTCTTTTTAATACCTCCTCACGTAAGGCATGCAAAATGATCCATCCTGTTTCAGCTGCAGCCTTACTCTGTTTCTTGGAATATACTTTAAGACATAGTCTCAATGCCATGTTCCCTACATCACCACTGGTGGCTGGGTATACAGGAGCTGCATAATGCACACGCTCCTTCCCTATGTCTGTCCATTTTCCCAGACATGCCCATTCAGGGACTGCCCCATACTTGGCCTTCTCTTCTTTGCTCACACCCTTTTTTCTGAACAAGGTATGCATACTTATGTGGTTTCTAGTGGTCTGTCAAACAGCTATCTATAAGCACTCTTCCGTTTTGCACTGCAACCACTCATGCACTTACACAGACACAAATCAAGCACCTACTGGACAATGGGGTTCCCTCATTAGAGCCCTCCCACCCCAGTTCGGTTTACACAAATACCCCATGGTCCCTATGGGTCAATACCCCCTTCCCCTGGCAAGCATACATACAACAATCAATATATATGTATTTTCTAGTCACTAAAAGTCCAATACTCAGTACCCCCTAGCCTAAATTCCCCACCCACTACTGTAACTAAGTTTACAGCCCACGTTATGGCAGTTCACCCGCTAGGCAGATATGCTCAGTACCCCCTAGTTTAAGTTCCCCACCCGCTACTGTAACTAAGTTTACAGCCCACGTTATGGCAGTTCACCCGCTAGGCAGATATGCTCAGTACCCCCTAGCCTAAGTTCCCCACCCGCTACTGTAACTAAGTTTACAGCCCACGTTATGGCAGTTCACCCGCTAGGCAGATATGCTCAGTACCCCCTAGCCTAAGTTCCCCACCCGCTACTGTAACAAAGTTTACAGCCCACGTTATGGCAGTTCACCCGCTAGGCAGATATGCTCAGTACCCCCTAGCCTAAGTTCCCCACCCGCTACTGTAACTAAGTTTACAGCCCACGTTATGGCAGTTCACCTGCTAGGCAGATGTGCTCAATACCCCCTAGCCCAAGTTCCCCACCCGCTACTGTAACTAAGTTTACAGACCGCGTTATGGCAGTTCACCCGCTAGGCAGATACACAATACACCCACGTATTACTTATTTTATATTTCCTGGTCTCTCAGGGATATACAATAGCTAATCCCCTTCCCAGGGCAATATAAAACTGACACAAAAGGCTACTTTTAAGCAATACAGGATTTCAAATGGACTTATGAGTAATACATAAAAGTTTCAAGTGCAATATAATCATTACAAAACAAAACCATTTAGTACTCAAGCCACTTGCAGCAATGACAACACTAAAACACACCACTCTTGTCGCAGTGTGGTATTGTCACCCAAACATAACTTGGGAGGCTTGTAAACTAAATCCTGATAAGTTTTAACAAAAAATAACTTTCTGGAAAAAAATAAAAAATAAATAAAAAAATAAAATAAAAAAAAAATCACAAAATTGTGGAAATATGCAGTTTGGCTATTAACTATTATTATTAATAACTCCTGGAATGTCCTGCCGACTACGCCAGATGAAACGGAAAATTATCGCTAATTTTATTAATTGTTCCAAATATCTAAATTAATACCAGATATGGTATTAACTGGTATATCTTAATAATTTAGATGTTGCTCCCAAAGTACAAATGAAATAGGATGAATCCAAAATGGAGTCTACTCACCATGTGGGCTATTCCAAAATGGAGTTAGTCACATGTGGCATGCATCACAATGGGAGTCAAATAACACTCTCCTGAAAGTATTACCCAAAAAACAAACAAAAAGAATGTACACTCGAAGAGATATGATTTAACAATTAATATCCAAACTGACACACACCTTGGTAGTTGTGTAAAAGATAGATAATGTTTAATATACATGCATAAAGAAACAATATATATACACATATATAAAACAGTTGTCAAATATTATATACTTTAACTAACAATGCAATACTACAACAATCTTAACTGCAATAATCTCACAATGCTAAATACACATCAACCATTGTATAATAAAAATGATTTTGCCCTACCAAAATGTTATCCAAAAAATATGATTTTCCGTTTAATCAAACCACCAAATAATAATTGATTAAACTAAAATGAAACTAAACTAAAATGAGACTAAAATAAAACTAAACTTAAAAATAAAAACAGCGATACAAATACTTATCAGTTGCCAGCTGCAAGATGTTCAATGCTCGGCCTGGAAAAAGAATGGTTCCCTCCCAGCACGTGGCTTCACCTTATAAAGGGACTGAGCATGTGACTTTCCTTACCCAATCCCTGTGTGCCATTGAATGGGGAGGAGTCAGGCATCCATCTTGGCCGCATGGCTCAGACAAAGAAAGTCTCCAAAAAGGTGCTCACTACTCCCCCTAATGGCACAATTCTAAAATGGCACTCAACATAATAAACTGTATTAAGTGATTTCTAATGAATAAGACCATAATAAACCCGTGTCCATTACAATCAAAAGGAAGAGCTTATTTGGTTCATGGAGAACGGTATGTGAAACAATTGTCTAAGCGCTAAATGCAAGGGGTTAAATAGGTGAGCTTACCAAGGAAACAATCACTCTAAGTGTGTGTGTGGGCTAAATCTTGGGATGTAATACTTGTGGGTTCATATTGTTTATTGTTTATTTGCTCGAATAGAATGTTGTCTGTAAAAACCATGGGCAGACTGCATATTCTTCATTCAAGAACTCTTCCACACTTGATATATATAAGAGCATATATACCATCACAAATTCAAAAGTTATTCACAAAAACATTCAGAAAATTCAAAAAATAATTAATAAAATATAACAAAATAATACACAAAAATGTACCAAAAAAATTATGTTCCTTCAAAGAAACATATCCTTTAGAAAAAATTATTTGCACAATAAAGTTCCTTATGAAAAAATGAACTCATCAAAAAAATATGTAATTATAAAAAATAAATATCTCCCATATATTTCCAAAAACAATATTGACCACCCAAAAATGATATAATGTCCATGTCCTGTAAGGCCATGTTACTCTTCCTGATTACAGGAACATAGAGTAGGAAATCTGTTCATTAAGTCCCCTTGGTGCTACTGTGTCCAGCTTGTAGATCCACATCGCTTCCCTTTGAAGAAATATTGTAGACCTGTCTCCTCCTCATGGTGATGGTGGTACATGGTCTATAGCAATGAAGCGTAATGTTGGTGAATGGTGATTTGCAGCTAGGAAATGTTTCGCCACCAGTTTGTCCATTCTCTGATCTCGGATCCCGGACTGTGAGGTCGGTTTTGCCCACATATGATAACCCACATGGGCATGTTGTAACGGACCACCTGGCATCCCGACTGGGTACCTAGCACTTCCTGAGGGCTCCAAGCACTCCACTAGACACCATAATCACTGCAGACCCCACAAGTCGCCGCAGCTTGGTTGGGGTCTCGTCGTCTCCTACCTACCCTGGACCTATGACAAGGCTCCAGGTTCCAGTGGATGAACCTCTCTTTCCTCAGAGAGTGAAGCAGGAACAAGCTCTTAAAAGAGCTTAGTGATTATCCAAGGGAGTATGAAGAGCATAGCAATCCCTTGTAGCTGTTTCCCCCAATAAGAGACAGGACTCTAAATTGAG